GGGAAATTTAACCCAACTTTCGCGATTTTTTGCGATCAGAAGAATGACCCAACAACTCTGAAAATTGGAGGGTCCGTAGATTTTGTCGTGATCTTTACAGGAAAAATACTAAAAAAAATAAATAAAATCATTGGAGCCGCGAAATAAATCGCGGGGGTAATTCGACTTTTACCACTCCGCCAGTTCCCCCGACTGTGCTACCGGTAGCCCTCATGGACCTGTGCTACCAGTTCCCCCTAATTTATGACGGCGGGGGTGGTGGTGGTTTAATGAGGGAGAACTATTTTTGTAGCTTTGCCTGCATCGTGCGACTTTTAAGCCCATCGATGAACAAATCTCTCCCGACTTTCTCGTCTTGTTCGGATTTTACGAACAGTCCGTAGAACCGACTTCGGTACTCGACGATGGACTCCAAAGGTTTTTGTACTCGATCCTTGATCATAAAGAAAACCTGTTCAGGATGAATATAATCAAATATATACAAAAAATCCATTATCGAAGGTTGGGAGATCGATCCAGACATAAGTACTGAGCCAATGGTGCGCCTCTCCTCCCAAACGGGTGGGGATATTGATCCTGGCTTTATCGTTGTCGTACTACTGTGCTCAAAGCGTGACAAGGAACGCTCCCGCCAAGTGATGTGTAGGGTCGAAAAGATACAAATCAGGCGGGGCAGCAGGTGCACGAACTCTCAAAGGTTACGAATGTACGAGCCCGGCTTGATTTGCCCCTCCCTGTGTCGGGTTAGCATTAGGGGCGGGATTAACATTCATATTGGCCGCCTGTCCTCTTGCCGACCGGCTTCGGGTAACTACAGGATCGCGCACCGGCACGTTTCTTTGACTAGACCGTCCTCGCCTGGGGATCGCCAAATCGGTAGAGCTATGGAGCCGGATCACCAGTCAGTCCTTGGTTTTGATACATGTCGGCTCCGATACCAACCTCAAGCCCAGCGCGACTTCCTGTTTCGGAGTGGGAGTGGGCCCGAAAGTCCGAAAAAGGGGGTGTGCTAAGGATTTTATGAAAGTGAGGGTGGAGTCCCAAGTCGGAATTGAGATCTCCGGTGTCAAGTTTCAAGGACGAAGTACAAGTGATTCAACGCTTCCCAGAGTTGGGCGGCCCGTTCCGTTGGACTCGTCACTTGACTCGTACTCTGTGTACAGAAGGGACGTCGTGGGTGTCCCTCTATTACACCACCTGTCGTTTGCGGGCTTCACATATCTCAGAATATGACGTAGACGGCTTCACCCGAAGGCTGTGTTCTCCGTGCTCAACTTCGGAACGTGTTCGTCGGACAAATCCAACGGCTGGTAGGTGTAATACTGCTGGTATTCCGAGCACGGCCTTCGGGGCCAGTAGGGGGCTATCACATTCCAAGAGACGACGTTAGATTGTGGTAGGGAAGGAAGAGATAGAAGAGAGGAAAGTTAGTTTCGGTGGCAACGAATCCTAGCTCCATGTAATACTGGTGGTTCGCGTGTCGGGGTAATTCAGGATTCAAAGGTTTTGTCCTGTGACCCGCTGAAAGTCTCATGCACACAGCCGATCATTCTCAGTTTGGCCGGGAAATGTTGGAAGCCTTAGCTTTGATCGACGAGAGAGGTGCTCATGTTCCCAGTATCTTGGGTACTTGTGGTCCCTCAGGCAGTCGCGGTCAGTGGTCCAAAATGGAAGGCCAACATCCATGTCTCATGAGAAAGGCCCAATTCAGACATCCATGAGTGATCGGGCTGGAAACAGACCTTGCAGACACGCGTATACGTGATGGCCGCTCTATTTTGGTAATTCATATACATGTGTGGTCATTCGTATACGTGTGTGCGCATGATCTGTTTCCAATAAGGTGTAAGACAACTCATTATCGACGCACCTAATCTACTCTCGGTCCATTTAGAAAGCCGATACATGTGGACTTAATGCAAATTGACGGATCGATGCAACATGCACCAACATATGGGTGCGAGAAAGAAAAAAAGAAAGAACAATTTCCCATACATCATATGACAAAACATTTGAGCCATACATGTGATAATTCCCAGACTCGGTAGTCGACAACATCCATGTTTTCAGGGAAACCAGTCGATCACTCAGTTTTTGGCAATCGTCATACATCCTTGGTTTATAAAAAAAAAAAAAAAAAAAAAAGTCGGGGGAGGAAAAGACAATTCACTCATCAATAAAAGAATCGAAAAATTCGAGATTGTCGTGAACAAAGATGGCAAAGATCAATATCAAAATTATACAGAGGATGCGAAAAGAAAGCACCACTTCAACACCCCCCCCCTCTCTCTCTCTCTCTCTCTCTCTCTCTCTCTCTCCCTCTCTCTTTCTCTCTCTCTCTCTCTCTCTCGCTCTCTCTCTCTCTCTCTCTATTTCTCTCCCTCTTTCAACGTTTCTTCGATGCGGGCAGTTTGTCGCCTCGCACCTACCAACAATTATAGAGTTGTCACCCCGCTTGATCCGAGCGTGCAGCCAGGTTTGCCCACATGCCACAGTCGTTCGCAGCCAAGCGTCAACCCCGCACACTCAACATCAACTCGTCGGATCGTCCAACTCCCTACTCACTGTCCTGTTTCTGCTCATTAGCCGATCCTCTCAACCGTGCTAACTCCCAAGTGTAGATTAGAGAGCGAATTAGTCGCGCTTACAAATCTTATAGCACTCCGCACTTGCGCGAGCCAATCCGGATTATGCTGAAGCAGGAGGAGGAGAGAGAAGAAGGAAGTGCCTACAACTGCATGACCGGGTTGCGGCGTGGGGAACGTAGCCACTCTCCATGCATCGATTTAGTCATGCATCTTCTCGACCAATGAGATCGACAGAAAAAAGCGCAGTTTTTAGCGTGGAATGAAATCAAGAGGGAGAAGATTACAGTTACACCCGCACTCGCCAAGAAGGATCAAGAAGAGATTACAGTTGCGATTACAATTAAGGCACGGCGGGGGCAGAGCGCAAGACAGGACGTAGCAAATCGCGCGCGAGTAAGTAGCATCATGGAGTTACAACAGCAAAAATCTGTGACAAAATTACGATGCCCCCAATTCCCAGCCAAAAAGTCCTAATTCCCGTATTCCCCCGTATTTCGAAATTCAAACGCTTTGATCGCACTAAAGTTCCCCTCCCCACTTTCAGCAGAACAAGAAAGAAGCTACGACAACAGTTATTTCCACATTCTCGCTAAGGCGCGCTCTAACGACCAACCGCCATGGGACCAATCTTTCTCACAAAAACGGGGGCATTTGTGCAATTGGATGGGCCCCTCCCATTCAACCCCAAAAATTCAGTCGTGCAGAAAGTCGCGCGTTTCAGAAAGCATTTCATCACACTGCTGCTATTTGGTGGGGGCTGCTATTCAATGGGGGTTGGGAGATAATGAAAAGGGTAGCTGTGACTGTGAGTATGCGTAGGTTGTGTGTGGTATGTGGGGAGTGTTGGCCTTAGACACTGCTGCTATTCGGTGGGGGCTGCTATTCAATGGGGGGTGGGGGACAATGAAAAGGGAGGGGCAGCTACTGGCAAACTGCTCGGTCTTTGGCTCAGGCGGACCGCCTCCTGTGGCCGGACTCTACTCCCTGACTACCCTAGTGGCCGGACTCTACTCTCTGACTACCCCTGCTAGGGCGTTGTGATGTAGCTATGCTTGCAGGGGTCCCCTGTATAGCCTTAGTAGGTAGGTAGTGAAAGGCAAAAAGGAGAGAGAGAAGATTGTAGTGTAGTAAAGAAAAAAAAAAGGTAAGACCCATAGTGAATCTGACCAGCCCCAGATAACTCAGGACTGTCTTTCACCTATTTCCATCCACCGGATTCCCATGAGGTTTGCATTTCAACAGTTTGCGGGCGTACCAACTAACTGTTGCCCGAAGGCTTTTCTTTACAAAAATAAAATAAAACCACACTATATTCTTCTCTCAAATCCTTCTCTCCTTTTCACTACCTACCTACCACTACTCCGAAGGCTATATAGAGGGGACCCCTGCAAACATAGGTACCTCACAATGAAGGAATTGCATGTCGCCCTTTTTGGTCAAGGGCCCTTTTCCGGAAATACATATCGGTATTTTCAGAAATTTTGAGGGCAGTCAAGCAAAATGGCATGACCCCAGTGCATGGTCTGCATTTGAAAAAATTGAAACTATGGCGCATGACGGTTTCAGTTTGAAAAATGCGCTCAGTCGCGATTTCGCGAATGTTGTGCCGCAGTGAGGAGAATCGTGAGTGTATAATAACACAACCTTGTCACCTTGCTTTAAGGTGGGGTCGGGATGTGTTGTATTCGAGGGATGCCAGAACTGGATTTTAAAACCGAATCGTGACTGGGCCCTAGTTACCTTTTTTTCTTTTTTCAAAGGAAAGGAAGAAGAATCGGCGGGGTCGCTACTAAGAAATTCTCTGCTCGACATGTGGACATGACGTGCCAGCCACGTACACACCACAACGAAGCCCCCGTTCAAGATTAGAAAGCAACCCATCATTCATTGCCAAACCATGGTTATCGTTCGTTACCTTGCATTCACTGTCACGCATTCCGGTAGTCATCTACGGCGCGTGACAGGATCCTAGACATCACCGTCACAGCTCGAACAGTGTGTACCCGAGGTGTGTCCGGTTTCTATAGACACGTGTCCGATCTCGAGGGACATCCACCGGCAATGATATGATAGGCAGACTACTGAATCAGCGTCATCGGTTTCGTCACCCTGCTTGTGCGGCTCGCTGATCGTGTCTATGCAGCACTTACTGCTCGCCCTCCTTGTGCTGGTGATCCATGAACTATTTCTGCTCTTCCAATTCTCAATCCTTGATTCGTCATTGATTCAGCTTTGGGTTTGTCCTCGTCATCGAGGCACTTCTCGATTAAGGAATGCGCTACTTGTACCGATTCAGTAGACAACGGGGAAGGAAGAAGATGGATGCGATCAGAGAATGGGAGAGGGAGTGAGAGAAAAAGCGAGGGAATCGTTAAGCATGTCAAGCTGGGGCACGTAACGGGCGCTAGAAGGCGACTTAGGGCTTACTCACCCTAGGACGACTTTGGAAGAAGGACCTGACCGCGTTATTACTGTATTTATTGGCAGATGGAGGTGAGAACGTCCTTTGTGTGAACGTATACCTTCTTTACTACTGCGCAATCTATCTACCCATCCATCTCGAGCATCCTGAGTGTTGTGTTTGCCCCACGGATTGGCTTATGAGGCTTGCTAAGTGATCTTCCACTTTCATTTACAAAAAGATGGACGGGGTAAAAGGGACAGAACGCGGACCGAGAATCGAGTGGGAGGAGGAGGGGGAGGAGGAGGAGGGGGAGTCGAATGACGGTGATGACGATGAGGAGGAGGAGGAGGAGGAAGATCAGGAGAGAGGCACGGACTTGGAGGCTTTGGCGTCGATACCCACCCCAGGGGAGAGTATATATAAGATCAGCCGTCAGATTAAGCGGCAGGACAACGAGCTGTACAGCTGTCTCCGCTCGATCTATGAAGACTCGATGTTTGTTGACGAGATTGCGCAGCGATACTCAAGTTTGCCTCTCCTCGCGAATCTGCGGTGCGGCTTGTGGTACAGCCGTCGATTCGACGGCACGTGTTACTTCAAGTCGACGGACGGACACATGGGCAACTGGTCGCTCAGCCTCACACGTCTCAACATGCACGTGGCGATGGCGGCGGCAATCAGAGGCGGCTGTGTTATCGTCGACGCCACCCGTCGAGGCAAGAGGTTCCCCGACAGTTTATCCAAGTCTATCCCAATCTGGACCTGCGCTCTCAATCGCGCCGTGAAAAGACATCGGCTTCTTCGTCGTCACTCTTCCTCCTCCTCCTCCTCCTCCACCTCCTCCTGCCCCGCCGTCTCCTCATCGTCCTCGTCGTCGTCCTCCTTGTCAACGTCCGCACCATTGTCGATATCCTCTCGTACAGGCCAGACGGAAGGGAAGAAACAACAGCATGATAATGGTGGTAGTAATGGCGATGGTGGCGCTGCTGTGGCGGGGGTTGACGACGGTGCTGCGGGGGCTGGTGTCGATGAAGAGTCGCCTTGCATGCCGGGTGAGGTGGAGGAGGAGAGGGCTGAGGATGGGTTACACTTGAGAAAAGGCGGGAATGGTGAGAGCATCAATGGTTCGGCCCGTGTTTGTCGAAAAGTATCGCCGAAAGGGAGAGATGCGGCGCTAGAAAATGCCGATGGTGAGACAAAAGTAGAAGCACCAGCAGCAGCCGTTATCGATCGGGACTTGGAACGTGTCATTTTTGGGGCGAGGAAAGGGAGTTGCGAGCGCCATGCTGACGTGGCAACTGCACATTCATCATCATCGTCATCGTCGTTGATGGATAGCCACAGGATGGCTGCAACCCGCCGCCGTCAGTTGAGAGGGACCGCCGATCGGGATCGGGATGGATATGGAGATGAGATTAAAGATCGGGATTGGGATTGCGACCTTCACTTGCCCCTGTGGATTTCGGAGACGGAGAAGGCGAGCATAGCCCAGAGAATGGATGGATGGGTGGATGCCTTGGCGTCGTCGGGAGCGGACGTCCCGTCGTTAGCTCGCGGGGATGTGTTTCGAAAACCCCTACGGCCTCTGTGGATTTCCCAGAGCACGCGCGTCTTAAGCAACGAAACGCCGGAAATTGCGTCTTTACCCTTCACACCCCTGATCCTCGTTTCTGCGTCGCTCGCTTGTTCATCCTCCTCGCATTCTTCTTTTCCCTCGTCGAGGCCCATTCGCAAGAGCGACGGGGATTTCGGCTGCTGGACGTACATTGCCGGAGCGGGAGACGACGAAGAAAGTTGGGCAAGGGGCCTCGAACCCGCGACCTTCTGGAAGCATCACCGCGAGATTTTGAACGCCGGTCCCGCCGGCTGTAATCGACACGTGGCGGGGCTTGTGGAGGTCGACCGGGTTTATCGAGCAATGAGAGGTGGTGATGACACGCAAGTGAGGAGGAGAAGGAGAAGCAGGAGGAGGAGGGAGGGAGAGAAGGGGGCGGCCCGAGCCTCTCAGAGTGTGTCACGCCCTCCTCAAGAGGACAATCCTTCACACATGGTGTTATCTATAATGCCGACATTACCCTTGACGCAGCTCAATTTGATGAGCCCGCCCAGAAATCGATCACCCCCCGATCGGCACCGCAGGATAAGGGTAAGTGGTGAGCAGCAGCAGAAACAGGGAGTTGCTCAGGCTGATTTTGAGGAACCTGATGATGATGATGATGATGATGATGATGATGACGAGGAGGAGGAGGAGGAGGAGGAGGAAGAGGACTGCAGGATAAGGGTAAGTGGTGAGGAGCAGCAGAAACAGGGAGATGCAAAGGCCGATTTTGACGAACCTGATGATGATGATGATGAGGAGGAGGAGGAGGAGGAGGAGGAGGAAGAGAAGGAGGAAGGGGCGATAAGGATGCGAATGGCACACAATGCAGTAAATGAAAGGAACGTGCGGGCGATCGCATCTCAATCGGGTCAAGAACGAGCAAAGCAGAAGAGGGCCTCAATGAGCATCGGCGGGTTTCACTGGATTGGTCACACTGGACTAGCCATTGGGAGAGTCGATTGCGGTAGGTCCGATCATTCATTGGGTGATAATGAAACGCGACTTATATTCTTTTTTTCTCCTTTCTTGTTTTGGCGATTCACATTAAGCGAGTATCGCATGTCGCTGCGCGCCGTTTATCGTTGCAAGGGCCAAGCTATGATAAGTATTTTGCCCAGAGTTCGAGCTCATTCCAGAGCCTCGTAAAAGTGCCGCTTTTGACCCAGAGCCTCCTCGTAAAAGTGCCGCTTTTGACGGATGACCAGAAGCGAGGACGACGAGAGACACGACTTTCAAATTCAAATTCGATCGGCTTCAAAATAAGCGGGGGGGGTGCCCCCCTTTTTTTGAGAGAAGTGCACAGCTACCAACGGGCCTACCTAACTCAGTTGTTGGTACACACCCATGAACTGTTGAAATGCAGCCCTGCGTTCGAATTCAGAAGTGCACAGCGGTACCAGTTATAGCTTTCGCCGGTCTGCTGTATTGCCTGCGTGGCTGGAAACTTGCTTGCGATATCTCAGTGCATTAGGTTTGTCATTCATTCTTTCATTTCAGTAACTCCATTCATTCATTCACTCGCTGACGCTGACGCTGTCGTGCATTAATGTGCCGTCCTGTAGTCGCTCCGTCTAGTGCTATTCTTGTTGTTCATCCACGTTCATCCATGTCATCCATTCATTTCATTTCGTTTTCTCGGTCGGTGGTTTGTTCATCTATTCAGGAGTTGCTGTTCAATTATTCACTCGTCATTCGCTCAGCCGTGACTCCGCCCAGGTCATTCATTTCATTCATTGATTCGTTTCATGGGTATTCTATTCCTTCATCCAGTCATTCCTGCGTTCATCCCTTCATTCAGTAATGCAGTAGTATTTGTTATTTACTTCTTTTACTTTATTCATTTATTTATTCGTCCGTGCGGCCGAGGAACGATTCACTGCAGCGTCTCTTCCCGCTGCCTATGCGTCCGTGGGTGTATGCTCGACGTGTTGTGTTTTCGAAGCCGACGTCGTCTCCACCGCCATTACAACGCATGCACCTTTTACCTCGATGCTCTTCATACCCAGTTGTTTTGAGACGGCATTCCGCTACAAAACCGCAAGAGGACCAATGAAATCACAAGACCAAATATCGGCACAGAATCCGTAAGAGAATTTGATTCCACCACCCCACCCCCTCCACCCCCTCTTTGATGCTCTGTGTGTGTGTGTGTGTGTGTGTGTGTGTGTGTGTGTGTGTGTGTGTGTGTGTGTGTGTGTGAGTGTCTGTGTGCAAGCTGCGAGGGAGCGACTCTGGAGAAGGAGAGAACAGAGATCAGTCATCAGTACCTTCGGTCTCCTCGATCCATCCGTAACGCCGTACGGAATCGAACTGGCACCCTTAAAAGCCTTAAGAAAGCCACACAAGTGTATTACTGTATTAACGTGTACACTTGTAAGAGGAGGCAGGCACACATGTACCCTACCCATACCCATACCCATTCTCACCGCGAGCCACGCATTTTCCAATGATGTAGTGTACTACCATCCATGTAGATTCAGGGTACATACACACGAAACTATCTGAAGGATTTTCGGGAGATATGATTAGACCCCCCCGAAGCACACACACTTCGGGAAGGCTTTGATGATCTCAGAGGAGAGTCCTCCGAACCACTCTCTCTCTCTCTCTCTCTCTCTCTCTCTCTCTCTCTCTCTCTCTCTCTCTCTCGTGAGACTTGGATACCACATTTGCCGAGGAGGTTTGGGGCTTTGATACAAGGGCCTCGCTCGCTCGAGCACTCACACTGTCCAAATGGGAGGGGAAAAAACAATGGAGAGAACAGAATGGAGAGTTACAAGAAAGAAGAGCCGTTTTTCGTTTTTCTTATTTCTTTTTCTTTGAGCTACGAAGAATTTTTTTTTTTTTTTTTTTTGAGTAAATTTTTCGCACTGACATGATTGCGTCTCAAAAAAGTAAATCAATCGTTTCACTTTCGATTTAGCAAACCAGTGCCTTCAGCCACTCAGCTATGCCTCCCGGGAAAAAAAAAGGGTTTTGAACCCGCGACTTCTGGCGTGACAGACCAGCACTCTAACCGACTAAGCTATTTTCCCATCTGGGTAATAACGGACTTGAACGGCTGGCTCTCTCGGTGTAAACGAGGCACTATACCAACTGAGCGAGCTAATGACCGAAACAGACAGCTCTACCAACCTACCTACCTACCTACCTACCTGCCTACCTACAGGCAGTAAATGGCCACTTAAGACACCCACGGGGAGAAGGAAGGAAGCGAAGGACCCATAGTTCATCCACCTTTCCAGCTGGGTTATGAAGACAGATCTATGACGATGATGCTAGGGATGATGACGAATCTAGATATGACGATGATGATGCGTCTAAATAGAGTGATGACAATGATGATGATGATGATGATGGTGGTGGTGATGACGGAGAATGTAACGCTGATGATGATGACTTGGTGTCCAGCTGTCGTATGGCCTCATACAGGCCAATTCCCACTGAAACGGCCAGATTCAACGATCGCACGTGCTCTTCACTCATTGGAATTCGAACGCAACCACCCGCGTATCTTCCACTGGAGCTTTCCCTGTGCGCTTCTTCAGGCAGTCCTGTCGTTTCTGCCCCGAAGAGAAGCCAATCACCCGGCCGGTAATCGGTCTTAGTGTAGGTGTCGGCACCCCGTTTCGTGAAGGCAATCAATCTCTTCGGGTCCTGCTGGCCCAGGAAATAATCGAGGAAATCGTCCCACGAGCTATGTACCTTGACAACCACGTAGGGCCAATAATCCAGGCCAGCTCTCTTCAGCTTTGCGTCGTCGAGTTTGAATGCCATCGGCTCCACGAGGTGAAGTCCCACCGCCGCCGCCGCGCAGGTTCGGGCGATACTGCCCGCGTTTCCAGGGATTTGCGGGGAGACTAGGACCACGTTGAGAGGCCTCCGTTGCTGCCCGTCGGGCGCCTGGCTGGACACATCGGGGCTGTTCAACGTCCAAGACGGACATCCCGATTTCGGAGCCGGCTCCTGCACCTCATCCCTGCGCGCCGAAGCATCATCTCCCGCGCATGCGGATCGGGATCTCAGTTGGGTACGTTGTTGAGCTTGCCATCGGGATCGAGGGCGTGATTGGCATTGCGATTGTTGTTGGTATTGGTACGGAGATGAAGGATTCTTGTTGCTGCCACCGCCTGCGGGCACCACATGATGAGGTCGGAAGATCTTCTGAGTTGATGGCCTGTGGCAGCAATTGTGCGCACGATGGACCAGTTGCTCGCCCTGCGAGGAAGAACACCGCAACTCAGGCGCCGCGAGTCGAGCGGCCACGCGGAACGACACTCCCGCCATTCCAGATCGCATCCAAGTGTACCTTTCAACGGCTTGCAGGCGTGCCGCCCTTACCTGGATCCCTCCGTTTCGTTACCAGTATTCCCCTTACCTGTGGTGTAGCGAGTGGGTTTCGCCCTTTGGGGGCATACTCAGGCCCGGACCTCACTCCACTGGGGCATGGAAATCACCACGCGTCGCCGAGAGCGGGCGAAGGCCGTCGCCGTCGGAGGGTCGGATGAACGCGCGACCCCGCTCCGGCCCGCGTTGAGATGTGTGCACGGCGCTGCCACTTTTCCCGAAAGGGAAAGCAACCCGCGACCTACTCCGAGAGGTACCGCGTCGTCGGACGTTGGAATGTCCGGCTCTCCAATCACAAGGCGTACTCTAGCGATTCCTGTTGGTCTCAGACTTTTGGCGTCAAGAAATGAGGACTAAGTACTGAGGACTGATGTCGCAGGAGGAGAACCTTAGAAACTGGGACTTACCGAGGTTCCGAGGCAGGGCCCAGCAGCTGGGCAAGGTCTGCTGGAATTGCTCCTTGGGCCAACATTGTTGCTACTTGGAGAATGCCCGAGAGGCGCTCGGGGCGCTTGACTGAGTTCCTACGAGCAGGACTCGGCTGGTATAGGCTCCTTGAGACCTGTGGGATAAGGAGAGAGCGAGTTTAGCAAGGCGAGCAGGAGATCTTAGACTCTGTGCACGTGCAAAAGTTGCGTGCTTTTGAGGGTTCCTGCCCGGCCCATTCTGCCCGCGGTGCTGGGGCCTTCCAGGCCACTTGTTCTTGGAGATCTTTGACTCATTATGATGAGATTGTCTTTTGCAAGCAGAGATTTCTGGTGACATTTTGGCTGACGTGCCCACCGAACACCAATGTGGCGACAGTGTGCGGCGGAGTTTGTCGCAGAGACACTGGCCGTGCGGCACTGGCAGAGGCCCAATTGCACAGCGGCGGAACAGTAGGCCATGTCCTCGTGGCGGAGCGGCATTTCATCGCAGTTCTTTTTTTTTTTTTTTTTTTTTTTTTGGGGTCGCCGTGTGGAGCTGTTGGCCCTCCGTAAGTGGTCTTTTTGAGATTGGAACTGAGGCACTTGCGCTTGGCTGCAGAAGGTCATCGCAGTGCGCATGAGGGTACGCAACCACGAAGTGCATCTCCATCCTTAGCTTTGCCTTGTGCAGTGCACTCTACATTGGACACACATGTTGCTCCTGTAAGTTGTGGCGGACAGTGAACATTGGAACAAACGAGGAACCGGTAATGGAGTCTGCAGGAGACGGCCATTCCATGAAAGGTGTAGACAGGACGGAGGTCGAAAGGCAGGCAGAGGTGGCAGGGAACAGTCGGGGCAATCGTGTGAGAATGGACGGGAATGCGGTGAACTATTGGGAGGAGGCACTGTTTGTGCTGGTGCTTGTCATCACCAAGTGGATCAACCAGTAGAATGTAGCCGTGTCGATTGCTCCAGACCACCTCGCCCGCTTTTTAACGAGATACTGGAGCGTATTGCTTCTTATATCTGACAGCAGATAACAAACTCCCGGCTGCCATTGCCGGCCAAGTAGAGATTTGCTTGCGCGTTGATCCAGTGGGCGACAGGAGGTTACTACAGACGATCAGGTCATGGTTGGGCATGGGGTTGGTGAGCACTCAATGAACCAATGCGGACGTCGCAGACACCATCATCAAGGAGTACGACACCTGATCACATTCCCGAAAGGGCAATCGCTCCACAGGTTGAAATGAGAAGTATTCTTGAATATGATAGAATGATTAGGCCAACCTTCGGTTCCTTGATACCGCAGCAGACCAAGCCCCTAGTGCAGGAAATACGGCACCCATTCTTGCTGACCGCTCTACTTTCATTAGACACAGCGTTGATGTCTGCATATGCTATGACTATTACCACGATATTCTCAGTACCAAGCACCCTTATGATGCACTGGACATAGATCTGTCCACTCAATCTGTTTTCTGGGAGGATACAAACGTGCAGCTCTCAGAGTTGGATAGTAGTCCCTTATTGGAAGCTGAATTCCACTCGGCTGCTAAGAACGGGCTTGCGCAAGTGCTCCGGCTGAGATGGTCTTCCGACAAAGTTGTGGTTGAGTAAATGGGATCGTTAGCCCCATTTCTCTACTCTATAATAAACAGCAAAGTCCAGCGGGGGGAACTCTCAGCCAAGGAGATTTTGAGGCAGGTCATTAAGGTATTTTATGAGAAGGTGACAAAAAGAGGTCCGAAATTGGAGACCGATTTCTCTTCTTCATGTGCCCTTCAAAATGCTGGCTAAAGCCCTAGCAATAAGACTGGGCAAACACATACCTAGCAAGTGATGTTTGTGAAGGGACGTTCTCTTATGGAGAATATTTTGACCCCAGTTCAGGTCCAGATATAGTGAGTAAGGAAAAAGAGGAGGTATTTTTGCTGCTTGGGATGGAGAAAGAGTACGGCAAAAGTGAGATGGGCCTTTGTGATGACGGCATTAAAGGAACTGGGGTTCGGAATGGGTTTTGTTGCTGGGTTTGTATAGTGTATTTTCAGTCCTCTTTGATGGTAAAGTCAACCGCAGACTATCTGCAGAATTTCCTCTTACCGAGTCTTTGCACCAAGAGTGCTCCCTAGGCCCCTTACCTTTTTTTTTTTTTTTTTTTTTTTTTTTTTTTTTTTTTTTTTTTTTTTGGCCCCTTACTAATTCTTTTTGCAGGCAGACGTCCTTTTGGATAGCATTAGACACAGTGACTTATCTCAGGCCTATGATTGAAACCCACCCTTCAATGGAGGGGAGGGTCTATTTTATATGGTCTCGCAGTCGCTTGTGAAAACTCGCGGTTACTCACCAGACTTTGTTGTCACAGTGGAGTCCTTGATTAGCTGGGATGAGTCTGTGTTTTTTTCATGCCATCTGCCAATAATTTGTGTGTTGATTGGAGAATGAGGCAAGTCCTACCAATTCTGCTGAACAGTTCCTGGGCACTGAAGGTGTCTCTTTCAGAATGTTCTGACATACAACACAATCTTCCGAAGAAAATGTGGTTTCAGGAATAGCAAGGTTGGAGATCCTGGCATGCTCTAAGGCACGGAACCTTTTAGACACAGTCTGAGACACAGACTCCATTGGTACATTCCAACGCACGGAGTCTACCGACACCCTCTGTGGTGTGGACTCTACTGTCACACTCTGAGGCACGGGCTGCAATGCATGCTGAGGGTACTGGCTCTGGTACCCGCTGAGACAACAGACTCTATGACCAACTCAGGTATAGGCTCCTTTTTCTTTTCTTTGAAGAGCAGCCTTCACAGGCTCTGATACGTACCGAGACAGATCTTCCAATTATGCCCCTTTACGGATGGGATGGAATCTTGAGGCCCGGACTCTCCAGCTAATGCTATTGTTCCACAGTCCTGTGTATGGCTGGCTCTGAAGCACAGATTTGTGCCAGGAAAACAGGGTGTCACGGACTGTGATGGCCAAAATGGACAGGACTCAACAATATATGGCATACCAAGTCACAATCTCTAAGGACAGGCTGACAAGACATATGAGGGGCGCGCAGCGAATCACTCTGACGAAGCAAGCTTATCCATGGCATTGACATCAACTCTCTGAGTGTATCACAGGCTCGCAGAGTTCGAAGAATTTAGTCGTGGACTTATGCATCTGTCTTGTTTACATTTTGTTTGTTTGTTGGGACGGATATCTAGAACTTATCCACCAGAGCCAGTTGGTCATATAATAATCTGATCGTGCGGCGCAATCCATCGCTGCTGTTGTTATAACCCGCAAAATTGCACACTGTGAATCCTGTGCTTTTCTGAGGTTTTGCCGTCGTTCTGTGTGTCTGCTGGAATTCCTGCTGTTCTGTGTGTCTGCTGGAATTCCTGCTGTTCCAGTATGGTGGTTGCTGATGTCAGTGTTCCGGATGCCTGTCTGTTTGTCTAAGCACTTGGGCGTGTGTGATCGTGAATAATTGTCTGTGTTGTGTTGGCACTCTCAAACCTGGTACTAACCACTGTTGCCATATTGTTAGCCTGCGAAGCGGGTACTGTGCTAGCAGACTGCAGTAGGCTTGATGTAGTAGATAGGCCCTAGGCGGATGGGTAGTAGACAGAAAAGGACAAAAAAGCAGTACTTTTGGTAGGCCGAGGTATTTTCCTGAGGTCCAGGAGGCCTAGAAGAGAAGTACCGGCCTGAAAAGAGTCTAGGTCCAGGTCTCTAGGTAGGATATCAGCCTGAAGTGACTTTCCCACCAAAATGGGTAGCATCCGGTACGGCCTATAGGATGAGTAGCTGGAAAGCCATTGGGTAGTGACTCGCGAGAAGGTTGCCAAAGTATATCTTGAACAGCAGTGAGTTGCTCCTCTTTTCCAAGTGCATGGCAGCAGTGCTGCTGGGCTGGGAGCGTGGGGGGTGAAGTGCCGAGCACCAGCATAGAGCCCTGCCACCCACCCTGGCTGTGGTGGTTGAGCCAGGGCGTGGTAGGAGAAGGGCAATGATATGGAGGTGACGTAGAGGGAAGAAGAAGGGGGAAGAAGGAGGAGGAGAACGAGGGGGATTCCCTTGGCTATAGCGAAGCTGCATCTTCATCACCTTGGTTGGCTCTGCATCTACGAGGCCCCTTGAGGGGGATACCCCTGTATGGAAGGCTTCATATGGTGGGGTAGGCTTGGCGGCAGTAGTGAGAGTTGGCGTAAGAGCTTTGCGTTGTCCTTTGAATATCGGGGCTAGGCCTGGATGAGCTGCCATATCTGGGTGACCTACCATGGGGTGTACCAGGAGGGCCAAGGAAGGGGGGGAATTCGGACATACAATTCTGGCTCTTTCGCTCATTGTAACTGTTTATTATCAAGACTAAGATGATGGTGGCCCCCGGGGTTTCCCGGGGATCTACCACTGTGCAGTGAGGGACGACCGCCGTCTGGAAGGGGGACCCCTTGGGGCTGCAGCCGGACAGCCTACATCGGGAAGGACAGGCAGTGACAAGGCTGGGCTGACAGAAAAACGTAGGTACCAACAGGAAAAAGGACGGGAGAGCAGAAAATTTTAGAGGGTTCAAACGAGAGATAGGGTTTAGGGCTTAAGGTTGGAAGGTGGACATAAGAGAAAACGAAGCGGAAGTCTGTTGTACTTTTGTTAGTCCAGTTGAGTGCTTTTTTGAAGTTTGCAGATGTTGGGACACTGGACTCGGTTTCCAGCACTAGCCTAAGCTGGGTATCGGCCCAGATACTCCCGGGTTGAGATGTTGAGGAATTCCCCGCCTCTTTTTTTTTTTTTTTTTTTTTTTTTTTAAAACAGTCCCTACAGTGCTAGTGATGCTGTTGTGTTCAGACATCACGAGCACCTGGGGAGAGGCTCCATCTATCGGTGGGGAGCACCTGTTGGAAATGGGTCCAGCGTCCATTATATGATAGAGTACATCATGAACCATAGACCAGTAACAAGATGAAGATTGGATATTATAATATAAGCTGCAACTCCTTAAAAAAAAAAAAAAAAGAGAAAAGAAGGAAAGAAAGAAAGAAAGAACAGAAGCAGAAGATGGTGGAGATGATGAAGAAGAGAGTTGGAGGCGAGATGAGGGAGAAGTGAAAATGGCTAGCTGGTGCTCTTCTTCTTCTTCTTCTTCTTCTTCTTCTTCTTCTTCTTCTTCTTCTTCTTCTTCTTCGTCTATTCTTCATGCTTCTTCTTCCCTACCGTCTTCCCCAGAGCACAACACCCCTCGATGAGTGTATGCAAGCTGTCTTTCCAGTCCAATACAGTTATGCTGATGGTGTGTTGTATTCAGGTGAAGATGGACCGTATTTGGGGAAAGACGGTAGGGGTGGAATGCAAGAAATGGAAAGGGAGGTAGCTCAATGGGGAAGTGCTTGATTGGTGAAATTTCTCCATGTGTTGCTCTGATTTCCCCCTCCCCATCCCCTCTCCACAGAGAAACGAAAAATGGCATAGGTATAATAATGCTAGCTCACTTTGGTGTCCTATTGCATTCATTTGTCAGATCCACATATGTTGTGACAAAAGCAGGTAACTCTCTTGGTGGAAACAATTGAACACCGCGTTTATATGGATGATTCTATGGATAAAGCTGATAATTCTATATGTGTGTTTTTGTTTTGTGGCAGCTGAACCAGCAAAAATCTGGGAGGCAGTGGGTGCTGTCATCACTTGCGGCGTTTATATGGATGGTTCTATGGATAAAGCTGATAATTCTATACGTGTGTTTTCGTTTCGTGGCAGCTGAACCAGCAAGAATCTGGGAGGCAGTGGATGCTGTCATCACTTGCAGCACACCAGCACCTGCAGACATTGCTGCTAGGGAGGGTGCTTATGTGCATCTACCTATTGTGGTCTGTTTATTCATATCCTTTTATCTATACATGCTACATCAACCTGTATGTGTGTCGTATGTCTATCGGTCTATCGGTCTATTGTTTGGTGTTCAGCTGTCTGTCTGCGAATTTGTCGTTCTGCTTCTGCCTCTCTGTCCGGCTGTCTGTTATCTGTCTGTACATCCGTCCGTACATGGCTGTCTGCTTATCTGTTTGAGCAGTAGTTCAGATGTCCGCACATCCGTCCCAAAGTTGGCATGTTCAGCCTCATGTACATAGGTTCATCTGGATGTCCGTATATCCTTGCCAAAGTCCATGTGTTTATCCTACTCATGACACTTTCACTTGTCCATCTGTCCACTTGTCAGTCACTCTGACTCTCTGTCCCTTTGCGGTTAGGTCGGGTTTGTTGAGTAGGCCGTGTGTCAATTTGTCTGGTTGTTGAAATCGCCGCGTCCTTCCTCTCTGTACACCTGATTAGGAAAACGAGGATCGTTCTTCTGTACCATGAAACTGTAGGTTTGATACATTGATGGCTGCAATGATGTGGATAAGTCGAATTCTACTGCATTGGAGCTAACCCCTAGGTGTGTTGCAGATAGAAATGTTGGAGAAGTTTATGAGAGCCTGATGGTTTTGGTAACAGGTTGGGAAGTTCCCACATGCCCATGGGAACCAGTTTTTTTCTTAACATCAGTGATATTGTTATGGGTGCGGGGAGCGACCAACTGCGGATTGCAGTACGCAAGGACAGTTTAAAAGTGGTAAATGGAAAACATTTTGGAAAGTGCACAAGATGATGAAGAAGAAAGAAAGGACATTGGCGATGATACCCAGCCTTCGTTGCTGTATTGTACTCAGATGTGGCTGTTGATAAACAGATGATGACTTTATATCTTGAAGGACACAATAGGACGAGGGGATGTCCGCATTTAACAACAACAACGATTTAAAAACGACACTGGCCATGATTAAACCAACATTGGGTGCTCAGTTGGTGCACCCCTGAACTGTTGAAATACAGACCTGAGTTCGAACTCCAGTGGAAGCAGTTGACTCCATCTTTCTTAAAAAAAACTGACTTTGGGTGATGTTGCTTTCAGGCAACAACCATCTTCTGTTTGACAGCTTTGTAGCTTTGCTGCCACAAAGTTATCCTTTGTTGACTGGTTGCATAGGCTGTCGTATCAATGAATTTCTTGCAAAACCTTGGCGCAAGGTCCCACTTACCAGGATTCCCTGTTTTTGGCCATTGCTCTTTGCGATCTACGGTCAAAAACAAAGAATCCGCGCAAGTGGGACCTCACTCCCGAACTTCATCATGTCTCAGTGTCAGTCTCTTATTTCTCGTTTTTTTTTTTTGTCTTCTCACATGCCCATTGGCCTCTTGTCAAAGTCCATTGTTGTTTGTCACCTGCGACAACGTACGGGCCACTTGTCATGTTTTTGTTGTCGTTTTCATCTGCTACACACCAATTGTCACACACCTGGGTTTGGGACTTGTCACGCACTCCCCTGGAACTTGTTGTATGCTGGCTTGAAAGTTGGAATCTCTCCCTCACTTACGTGACGGCGGTGCTATGATTCATTTGTCACACACTCGTTTGGGACGTGCCACACATTCGTCTGAAACTTGTCAGCCTATCCTTCCCTTCTTTGACTGGAAAAAATAAAATAAAAATCCCTCCCTTCCTTGACTGAGCTGATTGGTGTGCCAAAAGTTTGACTGTCACACTCTTGCCACTTGTCATTTCTTCACACATCTGCTTGCTATCTGTCTTAGCCTTAGAGGATAATGTTATGCTCTAGCCTGTTGTTTGTCATATTCTGGGAGGGTGATGCAATCCTCTCATTTAATGGTTGTCGTGCACTGACATCAGCCAGTCACTGCTGAAGTATAAGCGTGTGAGTTTGTTACAGAGTCACAAGCTCGATCGGCACTCCCTTGAGAGGAATCTCCCATCTGCAGTCTTGTTTGCTCGTCAGCATCTCAAATGCGGTCATTCCATTTTCATTTGCTGCAGGGATGGTGAGTCATTCGTTCACAATTAGCTCATTTTCCTGTCCTGTTCTTCGATTTTAACAACATGCTTCTTTCTTGACCCAACGGAAAACCCGGAAGCAATCACCATTCCTATTTTTGCAAAACAAAAAGAAAATGGGCTGCAAGCTCAGAGAATACCCATCTCCATTTCTTGCTCCTCCTCCCTCCTTTATACCCAACATGTAATTCCGCACTGCCCCTCTTCCTGCTCTCTCTCCACTCTGTTTCACCATCTTTCAATCCCTTCTCTCTCTTCTCCTTCCTTACCTTCCCCTCTCTCCCTCCCTTTCTTTTCCTCCCTCCCTCCCTCCCTCCCTCCCTCCCTCCCTCCCTCCCTACCTTTCTCCCTCCCTTCTTTCCTTGTTCTCTTCTTCCATTCCTTATCCTTTCCTTCTCTTTACATCCTTTCTTGTTCCCTCCTTCCTATCCCTGTCTCTTATACACATCTAGATGTGTATAASCTCCCTCCTTTATACCCAACATGTAATCTCGTGCTGCCCCTCTCCATGCTCCCTCTCCACTCTCTATCTCCATCTTTTGATCCCTTCTCTCTCTTCTCATTCCTTACCTCCCTCTCTCTCCGTCCCCTTCTTTTCCTCCCTCCCTCACCTCCCTCCCTGCCCCCCTCACCCTCCCATCTCCCTTTCTACACCTGCCTTCCTGTCTTCCTCCTCCTCCCCGTCCTTCCCTCCCATCTCCATTTCTATACCTGCCTTGCTGGCTGATGGTCGCCGGTTGTCGGAAACTGTTCAAATTTTCGACGAGCGCTACTAGGTGATCCATTCGTTCTTCCAGCTCGCGGAACGATGGATCAATGCTTGACGATGCCGTGTGCCTGTGCGGCACGTCATCCTTCTCCAACATGTCAAGGTGGGCATGGAGGCTCTTGAGAGTCTCCTCATACTCAGCAATGGTATGTGCCTGCCGAGCCAGCTCCACTTGTTGCCAATTACAAGTGAGGATGACTTGGTGCATCATGTTGGCAAGGGCTGACTTGGTCTGCTCCTCCGCAGTTGGTTCCGTCGTCTCCGCTGGATCAACATTCCATGCTTGAAGTGCGGCGGTATGAGCGGCTTCCTGCTGCATGAGGACAGATGCGGCATCTTTTCGAGCTTTGTTATGGTTGGCAGATGCTTCAGCGTGCTGCCGGCGCCGTTGCTCCGCGTTACGTGCAATGACGTTGAGGCGTGCCGTTTCGGCTGCCGCCTCGCGTTGCTGTTCTTCTCGTACTTGTTGCATGTAGGTGCCGAGGCGGGCCAGGAAGGCCATCATGGTCTCTCCTTGCTGCCGGACTGGCACAGCATTGAGGGCTCCCACAGGTGTCGCAGTGGAACCCACCTGCTGGACCTGTGGGACCAGGGGGTTCAAGCTGCACGCCTCGCGTGGACTGCCGGATGCGGCATTGTCCACCGTGGGGTTGCCCTGGGCGTCCATTGCAGAGGGGTGGGCCAGGGGTAGCTGCTGTTCTGCTGCGGCTGCCTGCCCTTCACGCGCTGCGATGCGTTTGCTGCGTCGGAGCATAAGCTGCAGTTAGCTGCTGTACGGTGACGGCTGACGAGGTACTGCTGACATGGCACTGCTGCTGATGTGGCCCTGCTGACGTGGCACTGCTGCTGATGTGGCCCTGCTGACGTGGCACTGCTGCTGACGTGGCACTTACCAAAACGGGAATGCAGGCAAAAGGGTTGGGTGGGAGGGAAAGCGCAGGAAGGTAACCAACCAAACTGTACTTTCCTCGCGGTCCTAATCAACAGAATAAAAAAAATAAAAAATAACAAGCGGACCCGCCGCGGCTCTGCCTGCGGCGAGAAGAGCAAAGATTGTGGGAACTGAGGTGGGGGGATGAGAGAGAGGGAGATAGAGAGAGAGGCAGAGAGAGTGAGAAAGAGTGAGAGAGAGAAAAGGATGAAAAAGGTGGACTTCAGGAATACGAAATATGTATATACATGTATCCTTTCCGTTGTGTGCCACGTGGCACGCTGGTGTGCGCTGCAAAAAAA